TGTGAACCATCTTTCTAGACTCAGTTTGACATAAGGAATCCGAATATCACGTTCAAAAAATCGTAGGGATCAATGGGAGAAAAGTACAAGCGATTTTTTGAAAAAATTAGGGTTTTCGAGGTTTTCGATCGCCCCTCAGTATTTCGCATTTTCCCCCCTAAAACTCAATAAAATTGAACTAAAAAGGAGATATTCGTGATCAGCACAAAATTCTGCGTCGAATGGTGTACTTTTAAGGGAAAAATGAAGAGTGCTGAAATTTTGAATTACCGGCACCTTACTTCCAGCCGTTTCTATATACAGAGCAGAGAATAGAATATCATACCAGCTGTCTTCGGGAAACAACATGATTGAATGATAGAATCAATTACAGAATTCATAATCGGAATTCTTAATTCTCCAAACAGTATGTTGAGTCAAAAATAATTGTGGCTTTGTCATGACACGTTTCCAGTCGATCATGCAAAACAGTTAATTTGAAATAACATTACTGATCTAGTGAAAAATTCAAAATATAATATAGAAAATGTCCCCTTCAAAAATCTGAGAGTAAAGCATCTATCAGATAATTTCTCTACTTTCTTCGGAAATAGATTGAAATTTAGCACAGAACATTTTAGACTGAAGATGCAAGAAAAAATCGAGCGAAAACCTGATGTACTTGATGTACTTGTCAAATGCATATATAAAGATTACTGATAGTTGACATTGGTTTGCCCACTTACTGAATTGAATATTCATGATATGATAGCTGCTAAGTTTTTAATGTTTCACATGAAACATCATCGTAAGAGGCCAATAAGGCTAATAATTAGTGTGCCTGTATGGCTTAGTGATGAACACATTCGTCTGGTGAGCGAGTCGACCGAGTTCAATTCTTTCACCTGAATCTCAAAATAGCCATTCTAGGCTTCGCAAAGCAAATATTGTTCTACCGGCGATAAAACAAGTAATGTCTACTTCGTGGTAATATCATGAATATTCAACTCAGTAAGTGGGCAAATAAGTAATTACTGTTATCTACGTTATAAGTCAAATCATGACTGTTTCTTTGTTTCTGTGCATATATAAAGATTACTGATAGTGGACATTGATTTAGGATAATTCTTAAGCCTTTATCTGCTATCAACTAGACAATGGTTACATTTCAACTCATCTACATAATTCTTTTGATCTACAACGTTGATGCTCTTGTTCTGGGAGTGAGTTCAGATAATACAACATCCGGAGCAGAATGGATCAATGATGAACTATTTGATCAAGATTTCAAAGACGAACCAAGTTTAGGTACGACCGCCGTGAATACCCAAGTGTTGACAAGTTTCAGTTATCAAGGTAGTCAGATTTACGTCTACAGTGCCCTATCAAATGAAAAGGAAAATCTTCTCACACCCTAGAAGTGGATCTTCTATTTTGTATCGATCATGCTACCGGCCATAACAAATGATCTAAACAACGAATAGGCATTTACAGTCAAGAATGAAGTTAGAGTCAACCTGATGTTGAGTAATGAAGATGTTGAAGAACTTGAAAGAAGAGCAATCATCAAGAAATACGATCTGACCGATTCCCATTGTTCAAAATTCTGGGACGTTGCTCCATTGATGATCGACTCATTGATGGCTTACATCGTTCGAGAAACAAACCTGCCTGTTGAAAGTGTTCATCCTTACAAAACCGCACATCCCAATCAGTTGACGATGCAATTTCGGTTCTACGGTTCTTCCGAGGAGCATGCAAAAGAAATTGTAGAAAAGATTATCGATGATGCCTATGAAATTGAAGCGGGATTCTACTTTGCCGGCTAAACAAGTCACAACGAATCTAATTTCAATTACCAGTGACTAGTTGAAAAGTGTACTCAGCAAAACAGTTGCCGATGGTGGAAACAAAAACTCTCAGTACATTCATCGAAATCAAGGATCAATATTTGTCAGCAAATATGTGACGAAAGTGAAGAAAATGATTTACTTGGAAAATTTAAACACAAATGTATCGTCATTATCAGCCGGCCTAGAAGATCAGTTCATTTCATTGTCACAACAAGGTAGATATTTTTGTGATATGCGCGTAATTGAATGCATTCATAGTTCTTAATTATAGGAATGGGTTTTTCGGTGTAACATGTAGGTTCGTACATATTTCTTGAGCCTGAATGTTACACATACAATTTTGTAACTTTAGAGTACATACACTGAGAATAATCGATCATTCAAATGAGAGCGATAAAAGCTATGATCTCTTGTTTGCTAAGTTTTATTACAAATTTAAAGACATTGGACGTAGTTTTGGGCAAGTACAATGTAACTGTGATTCATCGTTTGTTACACAATGAATTACATCGTTTCACATCGTTTTTCTTTTACTTTTTGGCTGAATAAAAACCAGTTCTTAAAGACAGCTACAATTCTCGTTGCTCCTCTATGTTGGTGTACACTATTCCCAATACCATCTTTTGGCTAATGTAAAGGGACTTCACCAGTTATCTCCACAAGAGGCTGCCCTGAGAAGGTTTTATAAACCGTTTATGCTGAAAATACTTCAGATTCCTTGATCAGTTGTTTGAATCTCACATAAGACAATGCTCTGGCGGCTCCAGCCGGCGAGCGGTAAGGGCGGTTCGTTGTACCTCTGAAGGAAAAAAGTGATTTTTTATTCAAAAAAATCCTGCAAGGTCATTCGCAGATATAAGTCTCTATAGTTAATAAATAGAGCGAGCGAGTGCAGACGAGCGTTACCTTGTATTATATATTACTCAGTGAATCTCGGATACAATTTTGAATGGTTAAGAATTTCAGTTGAATCAATGATTTCAAACAATCTAAATTACCAACGAAAATTTCTTAAAGAACCTCTATAATTTTTAGTCATGGTTTTTTTCTAAAACAACAAAAAGGAACATGCAGACACGAACTAATTACTTAAACATCAAAATCGTTTCAATTTTACGCATTCATAGTCAAAGTTCGTCTCGAAATTTTCTTAAAAGTAGTGCTTATGTTGTATTGGTTTACTTATCCCAGGCATGTTTGTCGTGATAAAACTCGGACTGTTTCAAACAGAACAGCATAGATACAAAAAATACGTATGTTCAAACATTTGAACCTGGCGTTTTGAAGCCATTCGTCCATCCTTTCGGATCTCAGAGCGATGCAGCGAGAACGGATGGAACATCATCGGGATCTGCCGCTTAGATGCTAGGAGTAGTGTAAAAATTCGACGTAAGCGTAGTTTTCATTTTAATCCTCATTGGCGCATATGTTTTGATGAAAAAGTAAAGAACAAAAATAAAATATTCATATGGCTAATAGGAGTTTTTCCGCTCAAGTCTAATGCATTTACACTTAACGTATTCAGAACGTACTTTTATTTTGGGCAAACAATCATTATTATGTGTACGAATTGACATAGCGAATAAATCTAAATTTTTCTTCCATTTTCTAATATTTGCAACCAACAAAAAGTTTACTGATCCTACCTGTTGTGCAGCTTAAAAGAGTGTGAAAATTGAGGGGAAGAAAATGTCACGTTACGTTTATGCTATAGTTGCATTAAAGTGCCTCAGTATCAGTTAAATGATCAAATAAAATAGCGAAGTGAATTAGAATTAGCGTTAAGTGTGTATATCAGAAGTGTAACCTCTTTCATTATTTGTTCGACTGTTCAACGTTATTTATCTAGATTTTGGTACAATAGATCTGACCATGATACGAGTTTACTATCTAGAAGAATGCATATTTTGTCTTGATGCCGTTTTTAAAAAACTAAAACTAAAAGTTGAGTTCTATTTTTTGTTAGGTCAACGGAAAAGTCACCATGTTCCTATTTGTGGTTTAACTATGGTTGCCACTATGTTATTCTGAACATAAATATTTGTAGTTATAATTGATTTTCTTTTGTAACCTTTTATTATTATTGCTGATGTTGATTTCGATGTTATTTTTTAGTTTTTCATGCTCTGTTCTGCCTTTTTTGTGTAAATAATACAGTTGATAAACAATCGGTTTTCATGAGCTCATAGATTTTCAGAGATTAGATTGCAGCTCAAGACTATAGTTTTATCAAAATAAGCGTTCAAGTCACCAGTGTCTTTAATAAAGGGAATAATCAGATGAGTGAATCGAATAATATACATTTTTGTTATTCACCATGTTCATTTCATCCATTTCATACCTTGGAGTCGTCACTGCATCATGTTGTTCAATCACCTGATTTCACTCTTGAATATCTATTCTTTTTCCTGTTTTTGTAGATGAGAGCCAAATGGAGAAAAAAACGTATGCGACGACTCAAACGTAAACGACGACGAATGCGTGAACGATCTAAATAGAACAACAACTGGCAATTAGAAAAAGAATATCATTAATGGTTTATGGAATTATCTCACATCATAATGGCTTGAAAATTAGATTGTGCAACATTCATTGTTATTTTTGGAGACGAACTGCCTATGATTATTGTTTTATGGAAAATTTTCTGTTTCTTTTGCTGTTCTAACAAAAAATAAACAAAAGATCGATGTACAACTTTAAGAGTTGTATTTGAGAAAGAGCAAAGAGCTTGATAAATTGTTAAGAGAATTATAAGCTTTGCAAGACACTCAAGATTTTTCCACGTAGTAGATAATGATTCTGAGTAGTGTGTGTATTGTTTCTTCTTTGTAGATGAATCGACATAATTATTTGAATATTGTTCATCATTTGAGAAGCGAGTTATATAATAATACAAATATCAGTTGGAAATTTAAAAGGCGAAATTATCTTCAATATCGATTTGATTGCTCTAAAAATTTATATTCAAAAAATTTTATGGGACATTTTGGTAAGTAGACTCGTGTTTATGATTACACTGTTCATTAAAGAGCTCTCATTTTGTTTAGGTTGCGTAAATGCACTGGATTTTTCAAACAATGATGGTTTACTCCTAGCATCTGGTATATCGTTGTTCATTTATATATCTTATACTGAGAAATAATCTGTTTAATATTTGGTTAGAATCAGAGCTTTAATTGCATGTGAGGCACCACGCTGCTACCATTAATTGATTCTGTAGAGAAAAAGAGTATCAGGCATTTGTTTTTATCCATTTGTTTAGGTGGGGATGATAAACGAGTATTAATCTGGAAAATGGAAGAAACATTATTTTCTACAGAAAGTCGTCCAATACAATTAAATGTCACACATTTAAGTAATATATTTGCTGTGAAATGGGATACTGAAAATCGTCGAGTAATTTCAGCTGGTATGATGTTCTATTCTACTCTCTGCTCTGTATATAGAAACGACTGGAAGTACTGTTTGCTTATTTCTTACTTCAGGAAATGATGAACAAATTCTAGTACATGATGTTTGCAAACAGTAAATATTTTTGTCTGGTTATTTGATCGTTACTTTATTTGATTATTTTTTTTTTCTAGAGATCGTAGTGAATTAGTTGATTTTTTTATTCAAACTTCTCCAATTTATGCGATATCCGTTGATCCATTGCACAGTGAAATATTTGCATCCGCAAGTGATTTGGGATCAATTCACATCTATGATTTAAGAATCGGACATTCCACAGATCCATTTGTTTTGACTAAAACAATGACACCATTTCATGGTGTAGCCTATAATCCACAACAATCATGTTATATAGCTACAGCGAACGCTCACGAAGGAATTGCACTATATGACGTTCGAAATAATAGTGGGTAAGTCTAACATTTGATAAAATCGCAATAAAAATAACTTACCTTTCAACAGATATTTATTAGTATCCACCTTTAATCATTTAAAATCTAACTCAGATTATTCTTTATTTATCTTTTTTTAATGCCGTTTCAGTCCTGTGTTACGTTATGGTATATCTGGGAACGAAGATACGTCTGCTACTGGGTCATTTAAAACACTTGAGCGTGTTGATGGCATGAGTGTTTGTTTTAATTCCAATGGCACGCTATTATACGCATTACGTCGACGTTTACCACCTGTTTTGTATAAGTTGAACGAGTCCAGAGCCTATTGTCAATTTGATGCTGATGATTATTTCAATTCGTGCACGATGAAAACAGGATGTTTCGCAGGAGATAGAGATCAGTATGTTGTATCTGGTTCAGATGATTTTAATGTTTATGTATGGAAAATACCAACAGAAAGTTTAAAGGATGAAGGTAAGGTGTTTATCAATGACTTATTTCTAATAAGATTTGTATTATATTACTTTCAGATATGTCTTCAACGAATAATCGACGATCACTGACGTCATTTTCATCCGGTACGTAAAGAATATAAATGAAATAGATTTGTCATTTTTTAAAAAAAAGTTTGAAAGTTTCGCCTCTTGTAATTGCGTGAGATTATCTAAATTTTATTTAGAGCATTATGTGTGGAATGCACATTTAATATTACGTGGTCATCGATCCGTTGTCAATCAAGTACGTTTTACATCTCGTATACAAACATTAGTATCAAGTGGTGTTGAGAAAATTATCAAAGTATGTAAATTTATTTTTGTGCTTTACATACTACATTTTTGCTTTCTTTTACTTTAGTCATGGATACCATTTAGGTATTCCGGTTGTTCAGGTAATGTGGACGATAATTTAAATGAAATGACAATCGAAGGTCGTGAAATTTATTCTCATGATGATTACATTCAGTCTGTATTTGAAACGGGCGCCATGTATCATGATTACAGTCAAGAAAGTATCGAAGAAGATAAGCGAATGATAGCATTTTTTGATTCACTAGTACAACGAGAATTAGATGGAAATTGGACACTCTCATCCGAAGATGAAGAGGACAGTTGTAGCGATAACGATGAGGAGAATAGTAGTTCAACAGATGATGCGGATACAACAAGTGTTGTAACAGATCCCCAAATTCAAATTGTTGAATTAGCGGAAAATGGTACAGATGTTGAAGATGACAATATTTTGTTAATGGATTGTATCAATAATTTATCATCAGACACAGATGAAGATGTAGAAACACCGATAATATTAAATATAGAACGTCCCATGTCGCCTACGCCACCATCAAGTTCGTCTCGGTCAACTTCTTGCAATGATATTGATCGTGCTGAAACAAAATTATTAGAATATAAAACAAAAATGGAACAATATTTGCATACAGACCAACAACGAGCAGCTAACAATCATACAACGACACATCATAATGTGAAGAAGTGTGATGGAAAAGAACAATCTGCAACAGAAACGAACTGCATGTAAGTCATTACAAGTACTATTGTTTTTACTCCATCAATTCGATAAGATTCTATATTGGCTATTAGAGATGGGATCAATTCGGTTCCATTCGTTTTTGGACAGAGTTTTTTATGATCCCTAAAAAGAGAATAGATATCTTTTGTTGTCTCCACTGTTTGTATTCTCGCAAATACAAATTTCTATTGTATTTATGTTATGATCTCGCAAGAAGATTTGTACAAGCACAAAATAGTTATATAAAACATATGTTATCGTTTATTTTTTGTTTAGAAACGAAAATGTTGACGATGAGATTTCAACTTTTGCTCAAAATTCTTTTCTACCCACAATCTCATCCCGTTCGCTTTCTTCATCTACGTCACCATGTAGCTCGCCAACGGACATGTTATTCATACAGAGACGATCATCTCTATCACGAAGAGGGACGGATACAACAACAACAAATAGTCATTATTCCACATTTAGTCTTCGGGCACGTCGACCAAATCGAACTATTTCGTCGATTGTTCGTCAACAAAGAGTTAAATACGTTCAAAAGTTGAGGCAGAGTGCAGACATTCCAGTTATTATCGAATTGAATGACACTAGTAACAGCACAAGCATAAATACAGCAACCACTCTATCTAAAATTGTCGAAGAAAGCATTAACAGTGAAACATCAGTATCATCAAATAGTAACAAACATTATGCACATTCAATATCAAATTCACCAAATCGAAAACGACAACGTCTATTATCGCCTGATCATCGAACAACAGTGAATTCTCTTGCTACTGATGAACATAATCAACGTCAAAATCTAAACACATTGAGAAGGTTAAGAAATTTTATTCGTTTAGACGATGCCAGAGAAGAACACTTGACTTCATCGTCTTCTTTGCCTACAACCGGTGATAATAACAATACCATAAATAATACACGTGGAAATACGAATAACACATCTGTTTTGTAAATATTTTATCGTGTTTTCTGAATTATCTTTAAAGTCAATTGTTTGTAAATACGATTCTTTATATTATTGTTCACGTTATTTTGCTTTACTTTTTCATTTCACGCCATACTAAATTTTGCGACAGTAGTATTTTCTTTAATTGAAAAGAATTCTTTTTGAACTTTCTACAATTACAGTCTAGTCCTTCAGTTTTCTAAAGTCGAATATACGGATATGAGAGTAAAATTACATTCAATCAGTTTTTTTGCTAGCTAATTAATGTTAATTCGATTACATTGGAATTTATTGTAGAAAAAAATGACCACGTCTGATCAAAATCCTGTATTCATAGCTTCTTAATATTAGCCTGTTTTCTTTTTAAAACACTATTAATATAAGTTTTCTGAATCATTGAGCTGAATATTTGTGCGACTCATCTCATTTGTTTTGTTCTGGCACGTGTTACGAATGCATTTTCACGTCGATTTTCTTTTTCCGTGTTTTATTCCATTTTTTGTCTTCTATTTAAATAAAGTTAGTTTTTTGTTCCTAAGTATTTGTTTGTTTCTGTTGTTGCTTTATGTGTTATTTATTGATGTGAGAAAAAGTAATAGAGATAATCAGTTTTACAGCAACAAAAAGTTTCATTTTTTCAATTTTATTTCTTACGTTTCGACAGTTTAACTGTCATCTTCAGAGATATAGAAAATTA